GGTCTGAAATTTAATCAAAAACACCTCAGGTGTGAAAAAACAAGATGCGTCCAAAACAAAAAGAGGTTTAACGCGTGACTTAAAGCAATGGAATCAAAATTGGCGGCCATTCATTATTTAGCTAAACCGCGTATTTTGTTTTACGCATCATCATGCCGCACCTTTTTTTAACACCCAAGGTATTTTTGATTAGATCATAAATAAGTATGTTATTCATAGACTTCAATCAAACCAATGCTTTTCTTAAAAAGTAAGAGAAAGGGGTCATAGAGTGCCACGCCTGCAAAATGAATGTTAAATTGTTGAGATTTCTTTTGGAAAGTAAACTGAATCAATGCCAATAAGAAGTGTCCCACAGTGGCTCAGCGTTAAGCTTACTGACTTATAACGCTAGAGCTCCAAGTTCGATCTCGTTATGGACGAAGCACAGATAGCCTATTATGCAAACAACCAAATAAAGTGACAAGAAATAGGTTAATTTTCCAAGTCTGGAATGTTAAGTAGTTTTCTTACCTTCTCTGGAGATATTAGTAAGTGGTCTTCTATACCGGTAGAGGGAGACTGTGAGGCCTGTGTTCCTCACGGAGAGTGGTGGAGGCCTGAATAGCTTAAGTGGCCAAGGAGGTAGAGCAAGGTTTTGTTTTAAGTCTTCAGGCTGTAAGTCTCTGTTCTTGTAAAACCGTAGCTTGGCTAGTTTGACCTTTGAGTGTGAGGTAGTTGGTCTAAAGTTAACGGTGTAGTATACATTAAAAGTTGTAGGATCACTCCACAAATCCCTATCAATACTCTCCGGTAATGAACCTAAAAGAAAATATAACATTCATTAAAAAGAAATTAAATGGCATTTCCCCCCCTCTCATTCCACACAAGAATAGAATGTTAACTAAAATGACACATTATCAAAAATGTAGAACCGTTCATCTAGAACAGGGGTCTCCAAGCTACGACCCGCCAATAGTTTATTAAAGTAATAATATAATTTTTTAATAATATAAAAACAAAAAATAAAACGTAATTGAGCAAATTCCAATCTGATCATGTATGCATTCCTACTTAATTTTACCACGACTCCTCCGGCCCGCGAAGCCTAAAAAGATCTACCTCCCGATCCTTGTCCAAAAAGGTTTGGAGACCCCTGATCTAGTACAGCGAACCACAAAATGGGGGCCGTGAAGCTTTTTTTTAAGGGGGGGGGCGTCAAAAAATGGACCGAAAATAAAGATGCTTCAATTAATTTTAATTCTAAATAAACAATAAGCCGATAAAAATTATGTTGACATAATTAAATGATACAGTATGTTGAAAGCAGATGTTATTGTTTTTACTACGGCACTGTTTTTCAATCAACATGCTAAAGTTATAAGTTAGGGGGCCTCAAACTTTTTTATTCACAACGAGAGAGCCCCAGACTAAAAGAGTTTGGGAACCACTGGTCTAGAACACGTTAACACACAAAACTGAAAACCAGGAATAAGTTGATAATTATAACATAAACCATTTTCAAAAGATTACATATAAAACGTACAATTTTCATTTGTTCTGAGCGATCTATTGATAAATGTGTTTAAAACATTATCTTCAATATACTTCTGCGTTGATCTACTATGTTCCTCGTTATACTGTAATTCGTATTCTTAGCAATCTGTTCCCAGCCTTAAGCCTATTTTCCTAACAGTCATTTAGGCGGTGATTACTAGGTGCCTTCCCTCTAGTCTTACACTTCTAAATTAGGGACGGCTAGCGCAGATAGCCCTCGTGTAGCTTTGCGCGAAATTCAGAACAGACAATCAATATATAAAATAACTTTTAAATCCATTTTATGTTCATTTATTGTTTAAAACTTTCGGCAATTTTCTTTGTCAATTCAAGCAGTTACTTAAATAAATTAGGCCTAACACCGTGGCCTTGTTGGCGAAACGAAATTTGATATCTTTGAATGCAAAATGATTTAACTAAGCCTACCTCTTTTTGTTCCACGAAAAACCGTTATTTTACTATCTTACTGCTGTGTCATAATTCAAATATAAAATGATAAAACAAGCTTTTAGAAAACTTTTGAAAAATAAGGGCGGTAACTGAAACCAACTGAAAAACAAAAAACTGAACATATTTGTACGCGGAGGGGTTCTTTCGAAAGACGTTTTATTTCAATTTTCGCAGCAACTTTCATGATACAACTTATATTTTATTATGAAATTGTTTTTATAAATTCAACAAAGTTTGTGTGGTCAAAACTAAGTACCACGTGTATTTCCCAGTTCGCAACATTGCTTAATGACGTCCATACTGTGGCGCCTCTCGATCTCTAGGCGGTAAGCTCGAGGGATTAATACGGTAAAATTCGTGGCTCGATCTCTACACTGAGCATAGAACATACAGCCCCATTGTGTGTCTTTTTGATAAACAAACTAAGAAATAAATCCTATTGAGGTTTTCTGTTGGACTAGTACAATTTTACTTAATTAATTAGTTTTTAGATGATTAGAGAGGAACTACTACGAACACCGATTCACCAATCAGCTCATGCAATTCCTTTTGACAGCTTCTTCTAAAATTGTTTTAAAAATGTAGCTTTACGACCTTTTTGGTTAACTTTGGAATACATCTCGGCGTTAGTTATTTACAATACAATAAAACACATCTATTTTGGAACCTACATCCTTTATGTTTTCGAAAAACTTTACTTTTAAACAAAACGACGGATTAACAAAAAGAGGCATTTCTTAACAAGTAGCTAAGAGTCCTGACCAACTGTTTTAATAGGAATAATGTTTAAGAAACACAACTTGGACAGTCAATAAAAAAATCCCCAAACCAACATGAGACGTATGGCACTACGACAAATGTTTGTAAGCGTGGAGTAAGGACAATATGTTTGTTCGCTGTCAAGCACAAACCTATACAATGGACTATTTGTGCTCTGCACGCTATGAGTATCGAAACCCGTTTTTTTTTTTAGTTTTGTCACTGAGCCACGAGGGGGCGAATGGGGACAAGTCCCAATGTAAAGGTATTTTCAAGTCAGCCCATTGGTTGTTTGAAATATAATGATTAGTTTCTTTATACACCATAGTGATAGATCGTGAAACATTTAATAAAACACCATAAACATAGTAGTAGTTGTGCTATGCCTACCATGGGTATCGAAACCCGAATTTTGGCGTTATAAGCCTTCAGATTTACCGCTGTACCACTGAAACGTTTTTGTTAAAAAGAGGTGATATTCAGTTATGTCACAGAAGTATAGAAAAGTTTAATAAGCTTGTGGCATTAACTTGTAAAAACAGTGGTATAATTAGGTGAAATATCACACGCGTATGAGTGTTACACCTGTTTTTCAAACCTTAGTTGTACTGAGACTGATCTATCTTGTTAAAAAGTTTAGGTAATAAACACTGTTGTGTGAGGCTAATGGAATTCTGTAACCATGAAACGGAGTCGAGAAAATTAGAGAAATTTAGTTTTTTAACTTTATTTTTTATCAGAGATCCTTCAAAAGCTCTCAATGTCCCATAGAAAATTCTCAATATCCTTCCAAAATACCTGATGTAACGATTGAAAGTCATTTGTTTTAACCTGGTTGTGGTTTAAAAAAGGTCTCAATGGCCCTCCAAAATACCTGATGTAACGATTGAAACTCATATGTTTTTAACCTGGTTGTGGTTTAAAAAAAGGTCTCAATGGCCCTACAAAATACATGATGTAACGATTGAAACTCATATGTTTTTAACCTGGTTGTGGTTTAAAAAAAGGTCTCAATGGCCCTCCAAAATATCTTATGTAACGGTTGAAAGTCGTATATCTTGATAGCTTTATTCAAAACGTTCTGAAGCCAAGAAAAAGTTACAGAAAAAGATTTATGTAAGCTTGTATAACATATTTTTATCAATATGAGATTATTTACAGATCGCTCAATATAACGTAAACCTGAATGATTAGTTTACTCCCTCGAGGCTAATATCATTTGCTCGTTAGGTAAGTTACAGATACTCACACGAGGGGTAAAAACTCTGAAGTTTTTCGAAAAATTTTGAGTTTTCTTCAGAATGAGTTTTGTCAATTCTTTTCAGAACGTTTGAGAGACGTTGATGTACTTTCTTCGAGAATACCGACGATGAAACATTTGGTTCTCGTGACATTCCAACACCATGAAGTATGAGACTCTTGATTCTTTTGAGCCACTCTTGTCTCACCCTGAAAATAAACCAGAAATCACCTTAGTAACGCTCGTGACATTCCAACACTATGTAGTATGAGACTCTTGATTCTTTTGAGCCACTCTTGTCTCACCCTGAAAATAAACCAGAAATCACCTTAGTAACGCTCGTGACATTCCAACACCATGTAGTATGAGACTCTTGATTCTTTTGAGCCACTCTTGTCTCACCCTGAAAATAAACCAGAAATCACCTTAGTAACGCTCGTGACATTCCAATACCATGAAGTATGAGACTCTTGATTCTCTTAAGCCACTCTTGTCTCACCCTGAAATAAACCAGAAATCACCTTAGTAACGCTCGTGACATTCCAACACCATGAAGTATGAGACTCTTGATTCTTTTGAGCCACACTTGTCTCACCCTGAAAATAAATCAGAAATCACCTTAGTAACAAAAGGCCTTATTAATTCTCATTGAGAATAAAAAATACATTCAAAGTTATTTTGCACTAATAAACGTCATTAAGTATTTTCTCTCTCTCGGGCGCGTTACTGGTTTACAACTGTAACTAGCTCCATAAGTCTATGGTAACAGCAGTGTGCTCTCTAAAGTTACAATTAGCTTACAATGGAATTCTGACATATTTAATGTGGTATTTTTTCATAGTTACAGTGGAATTCTTTAAATTCCAGAAAGTTCCAGAACAGTTACATTGGTATTCTACTAAACACACAGTTTGATTACAATTACAATGGTAATTTATTATAGATAATTGTATTTTATTACAATTTGAGTGGTATTCCGTCACACTCACATTGGTACTTTATAACAGTTACAAACGTGTTCGCTCATAGAAGAAGAAAGGGCAGTTTTATTCCTCACGAAATCCTGAGATTTTCATTCGAAATATGTCTCGAAAATAAAAATGAAAGGTTTGACATACAAATAGTGAAACTAGCTGTTGTTATTAGAAGTAGTATAACTGAAAATATAATATGCTCTTTTTCACAATTTACGAGTCTTATCATTAAATATTGTTACCTGTAGTGTCTCGTTGGAAAACTCTCGCGAAGCTACAGTGATTCAGTGAGAAATCAAGATCCAAGATCAAGATCTATATAGATCCAAAACCAGAAGATGAGAGTTCCAACGTGGAAGACGCTAAACAAATCATTGTACTTGGTGTGGCGTATGTGTAGTTTGGCGGGCTTGTGAAAATTTATTGATTCAACCGGAGATTTTGATTGTAATTTTGAGAATGTATGAGGTATTTTAGTTAAGTGCAGTTAGTGTACTGAGTTTAGTCGTGTAAAAAGAAACACTTTTTTTTTCTAATCGAAGTAATACTATGAACTCACAAAACAGCTACTTGTGGGATAATAGGTTTATTTCTGTACAACGTTTCTTCTCGAACAGTGAGACATGATCGCTTACAACGTTTGAGGTACAACTACATTAATATTGCAAATACAACCAATCAGATGACTGGATGTATTTGCAATCTGAATGAACTTGACACCACAATGTTACTCCGGCTCAGAACAATAGTTCAAATTTAATCCTGGCAATACTTGACACCACAATGTTACTCCGGCTCAAATAAATAGTTCTTGTGGTGTCAAGTATTGCCAGGATTAAATTTTGTTACTCTGGCTCAGAACAATAGTTCAAATTTAATCCTGGCAATACTTGACACTACCATGAATACTTCGAATAATCCGACAATTAGATTTAGAGAAAGATAAAAAGTATATCAAGCTTTAAAAAAATTTGCAACTATATTTCAAAACGTAGTCTCTCATTTCAGTAAACAAATTTAGCCCTGATATTTAATTAGCATGAAAGAAAATGTATCAAGAAACGATAATATTTTAGCAACTAGTTATGGCGGGGGGGGGGGAGGGGAACCACCTCTTTAAGTTTTACACATTTAATCACAAAACAACCAGTTTTTGCGTTTTCTGAGAAGACTGGCAATGGAGCTATTCCCTCGAGATAGTTGGCTTTCGGAATACCATGCTTCTATAACTTGATATCGATGTTTTATGATCTGGTTAATTAGTACGTCTATACGATTTGTAGCGTTTTTAGCCCTCTACTCACTATGCAGGATGCATGGGTTGAATTTCCAAGGACATCATTGACTAAATGACATGGCAGTAACCCTAGCCTGGTAGGATTATTGGACATTTTTCTTTCCTTTTTTTTTTTGTAATTTTTCATTCAACATCGTAGAAGTTGTTGCTTAATATCTGATGAGCAGTGGTGCATCCGCTCCGAGAATTGCAACTCTCGGGCTTATAATAGCCGCTCACGCTCATAACACGAACAAGGAGTAAATTCAGCGTTTTGGGTCTAGAGCGGTGCCTTTGATGCAACTTCGAGTTTCTATAATTTGACAAGAACTAAACTTGAGCGTACAAGCTTAGTCTGCCCGAGTCTGTGTAACAAAAACACCAACGAATGAGAACCTGAACCGATGTACTTACAACCTTTGGTGGAGAGCGCGTGTGATCTGCCGTCAGATAACAGAGCTTCCTAGAAGAAGGCGGTACAAAAATGACGCAAATGATGACTTACGAGGAACGCTGCTAGCCAGGTTTCCCGCTACTTCGTATCAACAAAATCTGCCAGTGTTTAAAAACTTACACGTGAAAGAAAATGTCTCGTGTCCTATAGAAAGACCGTTGTCTGCCAGATACTGCTTGCTAAATAACTCAGTATACTTGGAAAAAGCTAAAAAGGTATATCTGACTATAAGGGCATGCTTTCAGGGCTTGAAACGAGCGATGTTTGCAAGCAGTTGAACTGTTCATGATTTTATTATTGTGATTATCTAGAGATGTTTATTTGTTGGAAGTTAGGCATAAAGCTACACAATGGGCTATCTGTGCTCTGCCCACCACGGGTATTGATATGTATAGAGTAAATAATGACAACAATAATAAACAACAACAACAACTTGTTGTTTATCACTGCTAAATTAAGTACGGCTAGCGCAGATAGACTTGGAGTAACTTTGCGCGAACTTCAGAATGTACCAAACCATGTGAAAACGTAAAATATATATATTTATTAACAATTTCGTTTATAGTGTTTATTTACTAGAATGGCCAGCCTTTGTGTTCTGTAGTGACTACTGTAGATGCTGGGGTTGAGAGAAGTATTTTGTTTCAATGGCCAGCCTTTGTGTTCTGTAGTGACTACTGTAGATGCTGGGGTTGAGAGAAGTATTTTGTTTCAATGGCCAGCCTTTGTGTTCTGTA